TTCGGCAGTGACCGGTATCTATTGGTACTCAAAGATGAGGCTACTCACTACTGTGAATTGATGCCCTGTGCTGTCCCTACAAGTGTCGTGGCTGCAGAAGCTATTCTAGATTGGCACAGTAGGTACGGAATTCCGCCCGTCTGGATTAGCGACCAAGGCTTCCACTTCAAGAACGAGGTGGTCGCCGAGGTGTGCAAGCGGCTAACGAGCAGCAGTTCACCGTGGCCTACAGTCCCTGGATCAACGGTATTATCGAGCGTGTCAACCGCGACGTGATCCAAGTACTCCGAGTGATGTGTCTAGAGTACAAAAAGCACATCAAAAACTGGACTTCACTGGTACCACTGCTCCGGGCAAACATAAACCACACCCCGCTGCCCTCATTGGGCAACAAGGCACCTATTGAACTCTTCTGTGGACTACCGATACCGAGCCCTTTGGATTTCATCGTGGAATCCCAGCAGAAAAAGTCATTGACATGACCAGTCAGCCTGACGTGATAGGCAGGAAATTACGTGATCTTCGTGAGAGTATCCAAGTCATGCACAAAGCCGTGGCAGTAGAGCGAGACCGACAGACCCAGAGGAACAAGAAGGGACAACGCGGTGCAAAAAAGGTCAACTTCAGTGTAGGTGACTTCGTTTTGCGTTCTCGAGTAGACCAGAAGCACCAAGACAAGTTATTGGTGACGTGGATTGGTCCGTACCAGATCGTGAAAGCGGATGTGCACTCGTTTGTGGTCCGACACCTCGCCACGGGTGCAGAGTCGGACGTGCATGCGTCTCGGCTAAAGTATTACGCTGACAAGGACTTCGAAGTGACTGAGGAAGTTATCGAGCATGTTGCATCTCAAGGAATTGTGCTGGCGGTCGCTGAGCTCAAGGAGAACAGGTGGTGCGCAGTTAAGAGGGACTACGAGCTTCTTGTGTTGTGGAAAGGGTTAGATCCCATTGAAGATTCATGGGAACCGCTGCAATCACTCTGGAAGGAGATACCAGTGATGATCCGTGCGTACGCTGAGCGAACTAAGGGAGACAGTCTCTTAAAACACGTGACACGGTCTACCAGATTTGCAACAGGTGCAAGTTGAAGTCCGCTAGAATGATGATTACTGCAACTTCTACATTCAAGCAACATTCGAGCAACACTCAAGCACCATGATTGGGCTTTGCGTGTTCAAGGCATCATAGAGTGGTCAAGGCTTGAAGGGGCGGTGTAGTGGCTGGTGCATTGGAGACCAAGCCTTGCCCACTGCACTGGGCCGCACAGGACGTGCGGCCGAGCTGGCATAGACGAGATATACATAGTTGAGGACGATGTGCTTTTCTCCTTTTCAGAGTAGTGATAA